CCTTTTATTTTCAAACTCGACAAGAATCTCCAATCGTTCCGTCGTGCATACATCAAAAATCTTTGCTTGGAATAAAAAGAACGGTATACTATATATAATTTTACAAATCACGAGATACCGGCCGCCTCGCTGGGACACTGAAAGGATTATTCATTTAAAAACATGAATAAAACACGAAGTATCCTCGAGTTAAAATAACGAAATGTTGTACAGTACAGGCTAAAATAATCCTGGCCGAAATAAAAACTCAAGCTTCATTAACTAAAAAAAAAAAACATTTAAAATGTGTACCTTAGACTGAGATCAGCGTCAGCCTTGTCGAAGGTTTCGATAGCCCTCTCGGACTCGCGGGCGGCGCGCTCGTAGGCTCGCCGCGCCCTCTCCAGTGCGCCTATAGCTGAATTGAGTACGGCCACTTGTTTGGCGCCTTCGTTTAAATGTTGCTGGAATAAGGACGATAAAACGGTCAAGTGCGATGTCAGACAGCTGTTGTAACGCGTTGAGAGACAACTACAATAAATACAATCTTGTTACCGATTTTTTTTCTTAAAGTAATAAAAAAAGCATAAATAAATAGTATTTCTAGTGAAAGTTAAAGCAATCCTTCTTAATCAGAACTACAATGCCAATTATCTTTCGTGTTTATTTATTAACTAGCTGTCGCCCGCGACTCTGTCCGCGTGGAGTAAAAAAATCTCATCTACATCTACACCAAATTTTATATAAATTGGTTCAGCCGTTTTGGCTACAAACTCTAACTAACATCTATGCATCCATCCATCCATCCATCTAAACTATCGCATTTATAATATTAGTATGAAGTATGATAGTCAGATGTCCACGACTAAATATATCACCAGATGGATAGTGACGTATTTTTTCCATTTAAATTAACTTAACGTCCAACATCTTAATCGATATGTTGGTCGTAGAAGATTGGCATCAAATCAACTGTGTCATACAATTACACGTCTAAAATCCTTGACCCAGTCGCATCTAGGCGGCCGAGTCGGGATCAATATAACAAACACAAGCGCCAACTTGCTTTAATGAGGCAAAACGTTTGCCAAATTGTCCTTTCGTAATACTCATGTCTGTTTTTGGAAAGCAAACGAGTATTTTAATAAGGTCAATTTATTCGAAGAATTTAAAAAAATAAGTTTAATAAGATTTGACATAAGCATTTCTAGTAATCTGTGATGGATGGATGGATGTTTGTTAGAGTTTGTAGCCTAACAGCTGAATGGATTTCGATGAAATTTGGTGTAGATGTAGAGGATGGTCTGGAAGATCACGTAGACTACTCACTTTTGTTTTTATTTTAATACCACGCGGACGGAGTCGTGGGCGAAAACTAGTTATCAAATAATTTTCTTTTTTATCAAATGATGAAATCACACACTGATATTCTTAATTGTGCAAGTACATTCTCCAAACAAATAATTAAAATATATTAATCAAAAGATAATTCTAATATTAATTTTATTAAGATTTTAATATATCATTAATATAATCATCAAAGCCGTTGTAAGACGAGATGCATCAATACGTTCATGCATGAAGGAATTAGAATGTAGAGTAACAAGTCTCCGCACTGCTTCACGTTTATTTCTGCTCCCGATTGACTAGTGTACGGTACTTTTATTAATACTAAAATGATCATGGATAAACAAATCAACAAAATAACTAGTGATTAAACGTTATAAGGTTATTTAAAATATACATACTTTAACGACACAATAAAATATATAACTGTTAATGTTGTCCACTAGCATAAAGTGCTAGATGACAGGAATAGGCATTTACACACATCTAAGGATCTTAATTGTGACCGCAATGTGATTTTCGTGTTTTCGAATTTTCATATGTACATAATTTACCCGACGTTCTTACGGTGAAGGAAAATATCGTGATGCAACCTGCACATATCAGCGGAGAAATTCAAAGATATATGTGAAGTCAACCAACCCGAATTGGGCCAGTGTGGTTGACTATGGCCTAGTCACCCTAATTAAGGGTAGGCTCCGAGCCCCTCGGTGGGGACGTATAGTGAGCTGGTGATGATGAAGGATCTTAAATACCTATCACATCAAAGCCTTTAAATCTTACTATCATACTATACTAATATGTAAAAGTTTAGATAGATGGATGGATGGATGAATGGATAGATGTTTGTAAGAGTATGCAGTCTAAACGGCTGAACGGATTTCGATGAAATTTAGTACATATGTAGAGGATAGTCTAGAAGAACATATGGGCTACTCACTATCGTTTATTTTTATTTGCACGCGGACGGAGTCGCGAGCGAAAACTAGTGCTTACTAAAGAAAGCCCTTAGTTTAGATTATTAAAAAACCTACACTAAAAGCTAGAGTAAAGTGCAGGGAAACATCATGGTTGTTTATTTACCTTCCTCTCTTCTCTTAACTCCTTGGCAAGCAGGTGCAGCTCACGTACGACATTGGACTGCAGGTTCTCCGCTACGACCTCGCGCTGCCCCGCGAAGTCGCCCAGCTCCTGCAGCAGCTGTCTGAATGCTTTACATGCTGAGTATCTGCAATACCAAAAAAAAAACACAATAATATACAATCTTATTGTTTACTAGCTGTTGCTTGCGACTTCGTCCCCGTGAAATTAAAAGAGTTGTAAAAAATACTAGCTTTCGCCCGCGACTCCGTCTGCGTAGAATTTAAAAAAAAGTGAGCAGCCTATGTTTTCTTTAAATTTTAAATTTAATCGATATCCGTTCAGCCGTTTAGGCTACAAACTGTAACAAACATCCATCTATGTAATATTAGTAAGACAGCCAACTCACTGATAAGGTAGTTTTTTAAAGGTGGAATATTTTTTGTAATCGGCCCAATAATTTTTGAGTTATTTCAATACATACAAAAATACAAATCTTTCCTCTTTATAATACTAGTATAGATTATAAAAATGGCTTTACACGGTTCGTCAAGATGCCAACGTACACGGATTAAAACAAATTGTAAAATGGTCGCCTATGGAAACCTTACTTTATAAAAGTTATTCTCTAGTTGCAAAGTTAAAAGCATTTAAAATTAAAATCTACAAGAGTATAGTTAGTGGTCATAATTTTATAACAGGATCCAACAAGGAACGGCAGTCCCGTAAACTAACTAACTTGTTAGAAACCAACAGCATACTAATAATTACTGTTGATTGGACAACTAATTGAATTTTAAGTTTTACAGCCACACAAGTCGTTTAATGTTAGTTTAAGTAATGGTGTAAATTTAAATCACTAGAACGACACTAAGAAAGGGTTAGCAATAATTAAACTACTTCTTAGTATTAGAATAGATTGCATATATGTCTTGTTTGAAATTTGGAAAACTCTTAAAAAGTACACGTCATTCTTTGTACTACATCTAACAAAAAGTAACGATTCAAATACCGGACAAAACATTTAAATTAATAGAATAAATGATTGTTAAGATGATTCACTCTCACTCCACTCAGTTTCCGAAGAACTGCAGCGGAAAGACGCGACTATTGTTTTTTATTATTTCTAGAATGGGACAAGCAACGAGCAACGACTAAATCATTGATAAATAGCTTTTTCCCGGCTCCGGTGCTTGTAAAGATAGCTAAATATAAGACTCCTTTGTGTAACGTGACGCATAGATTTAATTTATAGCATATTCAATCTAAACTACAAATTAAACATAAAATGCATAAACGTTGCAATAAAAAATTACAGTTCAATTCCTAATTAATAGTTATGATTTTATGATATTTTGCATAACTATATAATAGGTTCAGACGCATACTTCCGGTCTGTTATGAGCTTATATCTAGACATCCACTTATACTGTTAACAGGATTTTTAACGTGGTCACCGTGCATATCCTGGTCTATATTAATATATCATGGCGTGGCGCTTAGGATACTTTTCTGTATCAAAGAACTAACGGTTCCATAAACTCTACGTTTTAAAAACTATTATCTATATTATTAATATTATAAAGAGGAAAGATTTGTATTTTTGTATGTATTGAAAAAACTTAAAAACTATCGGGCCGAATTTAAAAATTCTTTCACCCTTAGAAAGGTTATTTCTCTGTAAGTAACATAGGCTATATTTTTTAATCACACGCGGGCGAAGTCGCGCGCGAAAACTAGTATTGAATAATGGCGAAGACCATAGAAAGTATTGATGGATTGTGTGTAAGGTTATCCTCTTTCTTCTTGTTTAAGAAGTAAATTTAGAATTGACGGCTGATAGGTAAGAGAGAGCTGTACAAATTATGCCGACCGTAGGGACAATTGTATAATAGGTTGATGATGACGATGACGAAAAAGCTGATAAAACATGAATCAACTTACTGGTATTCATCTTCTTCTTTTCTTTTGGGTTGATAACTTTTAACGAGCCTCCTGCAAACAGAAATTATCCATATAAAACATTCTGTACTTAGAAAAAGAGAAACGATTGCGTGAATAAATTTATTTACATATTGCTTAACAGTCAAAGAGACAGTGGTACGGAACATTTTCGAATGGTACAATTTAGTGAAAAATCTCTCGCATCTGGTATTCAATAAACAGCACAAAATGTAGTGAAAGTAAACTTTCGACAGGTTACGACACTCCCCGCGCTCGTATGTCTTGTTTATAACATATAGCGTAATCCTTTTAATATATTTATGTAATACATTACACCTATTGTACAAATGTTTCTATCGACTTTTGAGTCTATTGTTTTTGATTACGCAAACAGTGCGTGAGGGGTCAATATTCGGATAAAAGTTATACTTTTACTTTTATAATTAGGTGAGAAAAATATACGTATTATACATTACGGTAAAAACTAATGATACGTCTAATTGCAGGGAGTTTTATATTTATCACGGACTTGGTAAAATTGAAAACTAAGGACCTGCCCCACCTAATTGTAAATTGTATGATAACAATCCAACGTGTAAAATATATAATGGAAATATCGAGTTTTGATCCCTTATCTGACAATGACGTCATTTTTAACCTATCTGAGTCCCTATCAGCCAATGGTGGAACAGGCCTTAAGACTTCTTAAGATTAGATCTGCTTGAAATTTACCTGCATCCAGTCTATAGGTTAATAAACTACTAAAGTGTATAAAGCACCCCTTGACCCAATACAACGGCCTCGAGTGGAATTCACAAGTCCCCGATACTGAAACTCATCTTGTAAGACAAGAGTGCTCGCCTTTGAGCTTGCATATTTTGAAGTATGTAAAAGAAAGTTTATAAGGTGTTCAGGTAATGTAAAACCTGAATCACAATTTACATTTATCGGAGGAATTTTAATTTCGAGTTGAACAACGACTTGCCAATAAAGTAGGCTAGTTTCAATTTTATACAATTAATGGTCGGTTTCCTAGCTACATTTTACGCTAACGTTTTTGGTTTGGTAAGTCCATAAAATGCGTTTCCGAACTCCGTAACTTGAGTTTTACTCTAATGTAACTGTAGACAACCAGACACTAAAGAATCACTAGGTAACGATAAATAAATGGAAACTTTAGAAACCCAGCAAAAAATGAAATAATTCAATAAAACGACTTATTTTACATCCAAATCCTGTTTCCATAAGTTTACATATTTAGCGCAATTCGCAGTCATTCGTTAAACAATAAAAATACAACTGTACGTTTTATGTTAAAATTTGTACTCAAAAATAAAAACTAAATGCAGCTATAATAATGCTAATAAAATACATTTCGCAGATCGTTCCATTAATGCTAATAGACGCGCATATAAATTTAGCGCACATTTTAGCAAAGCAACTTCAATACATACGCAAAATACAATTTACATTGTTTACTTGCTAACAAAAAAACCCATCTTGTCTTGCAGAGAGTTCTAACTGGCAAAAAATCATGAATTAATAAGATACACGAGAATTTTCAAGTTCCAGTTATTTTAATCTTAAAACTTTATGGCTCAAACTAAGGATTCCCTTAGGGGCATTGTGGAGATTTAAAAGTAAATAATTTAGAGTGTAATATTTATTTCCATACCTGAGTTTTCCTGCATACTCGAGTTCTATAGCGCATCTGTCCTTTACGAAGTTACCATATTTATCTAGGAACTCGATTCCCTTGTGCGTGTGGGCGGCTAAGTTATCATACTGATCCTGCGGACAAACAAACAATACAATTAATACATATGCCAAAACGTGGAGGAAACCGGGCTAAGATACGAGGTCAGTAGCGGGGAGGTAACGGAGATAACTGGCCGGAAAGTCGGTACAATCAAGCTAATTTATGCTGAGTTTCTGAAGTTTCCATTCATTTTATCGTTATTTTGTGACTCATTAGTGTTTGGTTGATCCAAGTATTTAAGGAGTAAAACTTAAGTAACGTAGTTCGAAACATCATTTTATTAAGTTATCTTAAATGTTGGGAAACCGATCATTAGTAACACTTTCCGCAAGATGTGCAAACTATTAATAGTATTAATTTGGGTGTACGAGTTTTATTATATCCATAGTCAGTCAGTATAAGATTATTCTCCACTATAATAATATGCATAACTCGACTAAAACATAATCAAAGAACCATTCTTACATCTAAGATAGACACCGCATAGGAAGCAATTGCATATCGCGATACATATGGAGAGACAGAGATAGAAGAAACCGCTTGTTATTACAGAAAACTAAAACATATCACGTTCTAATAGATCAGTATAATAACAGCATTCAATATTACTCTAATTTATTCATAACTTGTGAGAAGTCTGTCTTAAATACTGTCTAGGATACGTCTGGGACTTTCCAGATTAAACGGATCAAGTATAGAAATCATTATACAATGATTTACGACACTGATGTGAAAGCATAACTGTTTAGAGACTTCAAGTTTGCTAACAAGAATGATGAGTTGAGAACTATGAAGCGTATTTTCGGCGCCACATTCGCGGGGGCGACAATTGACCTGTTATCTCTAATACGTCCCGTCCGCTTAAACCGACCAGAAGTGTGTTCCTGTGTCGATGTCCTGACAGACTATATATTCGAGATAGTATTATAACAAAGACCAAATTATTAAAAGTAGTATTTATTATAAGGTTAATATGTGCTGTGCCAAACATTGTATGTGCTCGTTACCTGAGTCATTAGTTAAATAGATTACGCAGCCCTAACCAGTAAACGAGCATAGAAGAGTATAAACCAATGTGATTAAGGCAACATTGACTTTAATGGATCCTAAAAGATAACGTTCAAACGATGCCCCAATACTAATTAACACGACAATGACGTAATTGGATGCATTAGCGAACATTGTATCTACCAATAACCGCGATATCAAAATATAATCCTACTCATAAAACCCCAACGAATTCAACATCAAATCTTGTACATAAAAACATGAAATAATAACACTTTTGTTAATAATTTAATCAGCTACGTGTTTATGTTTTCAATCTGTGCGAACCTAAATCATACCTCTTGTAAGAAACCTCAACATCCGGAGTCTAAATTTAGACGCCCTATCGGCCGCTGCAAACATCACTGAATGAGGTGTACTCGAGAAATACGTGGCTATTTAATACTAATAATAAATTTACATTACGAAAACATGCTGCGAAACATTACAAAATTGTAAAAGATTAACATCATTCATCTACAGTTTTTACGGACAATTTTATTAGGTATTTGATACAATCTATTCGTATTATTAAACACAATTTCTCAAACAAAGGTCGATCAATCTAGTTATTTTATTCACATGATTAGATGAATCGTAACTTAAAAAGCTCATATAAAAACACCGATAACTTCTGGCCTTCCCGGTTTAAGTTTAACGAATGATATATGTCAAGGCCACGAAACATACAAACACACCCAGACTTCAAAACAAATATTTGGGATCCACACGAAATTTTCCTTAGCTGCAATAAATTAATTTACATCATTGGCGTTAGAGTTTTAAAAGAAAAAGAATGGATTACGCTTTAACCTTTTAGATTGAATGGCCTTCGTAACCAAACATTTACCAACAAGATTAACTTATTGGGCAGGAACCTTAGAAAGGTGTAAGGAGACGTGTAAGTTATGTCTACCCTTTAGTACAAAGAACTGGAATGGTATACTGAAACAAAAATTCTTTTTACAAAATAAAATATACTTAGTTGCAAAAATATCGATATCTAATTCATAATAACTATGACGGATTATTCACTTTGTCGTTTAACACGACCATCCGAGATAGAGCAGGCGCGGTGCACAATGCACGTCCGAATGCATTGTTAACCGATTATAGGACCTTTTATGATTGTCCGATCACTGATGTACAAGCTCTATGACAATATGCTGGTACAAATTATCACAACGTAAGTACAAAAATATAGACAACTTCCATCATTTTGTTAATCATAATGATTAAAAAACTCATTAACGTTTTGGTAATAAACAAAAGAAAATCAGGCTACATGTTGAAAGACTACACAAACAAAATACTACGTCATTTATAAGTACGTGAGCTTTTTATATACCCATCAATTCTTTTTTAACAAATTTTGATTATTACGCACGACTGGTTATTTATCTGTGAATTGAATACAACGGTCATCTTTTTTATTACAAAAAACCGAAAGTCATGAATGAATCAGCGCCAATACAATAATCTATTGAATAGTAAACTTTCGATGGCAATCAAATACTATCATTCAATTTGTTGAGTCGCGCTGCGACACGGATACATTCCGGTCTCACACAACAACGATTAAACGCTTTTATCATATTGAAATGTACAGTTATGCTTAATAAAGTATTTAAGTAGAGAAAGGCAGAAATATTACAACGTTTTGATACGCGCATCGTGTGGTGTGGCATACAACCGTGGCACGGTTCGTTAACCTGGTCGACGGCGGTACGACGTCGCGTTGAGAGAGCCAGTGTTGGCGTGGGAGAACTGGACCGGTGATACCACCGCAATATCCAACGCGGTCTAACACGGTGCAATAACTCGTCACCATGCAGGAGCTATTCTAAGAGTCGTTAAGACGCAGAGTACTTTGCTACGAAAATAAGTTATGACTAACTTAAGTATCCAACGCAGACGTCTAAGATATAAAACGAAGCGGGTTATAATCGTCAAAATGAAAAAAAAAAAACAAGCTTTCGCAAATGAAAAAACCTAAGTGGATGTCATGCGTAGACCTAGTTGTATTTTTATCAAGTTTGTTTATCACAATCATTATGTACAATTGAACAAATGAAAACCATTGAAAAGGAGATAGAGAGGAAGAGTTATTCTTTGGAGGAGATTTATTAACTGAGTTCAAACTAAAACCCACCTTAAGTTATAGGGTCTGGATATAGGCTCTAGACAGAACAATCAATAATTTGATATGTATTAGGGGGACCGGAAAGTAATGTCGTTTCTGCGCATGCCAATACTTGATTGTCATTTTTCAGCTCATTGTT